GCTGCGTCAGACGGGCACCGTGTTCTTTCTTATTAAGGTTGAAAATGAGGACGTCACTTTGGTCGAGTCCTTTGATTACACTGTCTATTGCCGATTGAAAGAGGCCATACGACACATGCAATCCGAATGAGAGAAAATTGTACTGGTACATTCCCCATGGCTTGTTGATTGTTATCAAGTAGCGAGATTTGACATCGTGCAGAATCTGTTGGTATGCGTCCGCCCAATCCATCTTGGAATTTACTGGCACCCATGCAATGACTTCATGAAATCCTCGGGTTCCATGGTGGTCGCTGCACATTTCCACAATCTGGAATTCAACGTCAGTCGATAGCCTCCACAGATCCGTGGTGTCCTACCATCACTTTTCATCGCCACGACGACCGGTGTCGCACAGGCACTGGATTCTACTTTGCTTATCACACCATTTTGCTCCATTTTCTGTAATGCTTTCAGGACACCTTCGCGTTCACCCTATGGGAGGACGCGTAGTTTTAGGAAAATAGGTTTACCGTCCACTTCCAATTTCACCGACGGTACCTTCATACCATCAGCGTTATCGGAAAACTGTACGATCAAATGTTGAAGATGTGAGGTGATCAACATATCGTTGTTGGTGTGTAGTGTGATTGATCCTTGTAGTAGCCGCATTGCTCGAAGGCCCATTATTGACGGACTGTGGGCTGATACCAGGAATCGAATTGGGATTGACACACCGGATTCAGATTGAACGCACAACGTCGTTTCGCTAAGTGATTGCAACTGATGGCCAGTAACCTCATGAATGCGCACAGAAGTCGGGGCTAGAACANGGTTGTGCGGAAGATCCTCCTTCTCGTACCTTCGTATAACAGCATGCAGTTCCTGATATACGTTCGTTCGAGCCAGTTTGCAGTCGTCCACAAGCATAAAGCATGTGTTGTTGATTTCCCGTGTCAGATCGTTGACGCACATCAGGAATAGCAGTGGGCTAGCACAGAACCTTGAGGGACACCACTAGTCATGTTGGCCGGCACCGTTAGCTGCATACAAACCTTGACCTGGAAGGTGCGGTTAGTTGTAAAACAGTAGACCCACTTTCTCACTTCTTCCCCAATTCCTTAGAATTGCATTTCATGGTCTAACCCTTGATGTCTTACCTAGTCAAGCGCTTTGATAAAGTCCAGGCAACAGACCTAGACATACTGTTCCTCGTCTAATCGCCATTTGACCTCATCCAGGAAGGCAAGCAGATTTGATAGACAAGACTTCCTCCTAATAAGGCTATGTTTGGCTGGTGTTATTAACTCATGCCCTACGAGGTACGCAGCCATATGCTTGCGTATAATCTTTTCTAGGCATTTGCATAGGAACGATGTCAAACTTACTCGTCCGTAGTTTTCGGCCTTTTGCCTTGACTCAGATTTATGCAGAGCAACTACCGTCTCTCTTTCCCAATCTCCCGGTATCTCGTCTTTATCTAGAGATGCCTGAAACAGCTTTGACAGAGGTCCTTGGAACATCTACCCTAGAGGTTTGACAATATTGGGATGGATGCCATCCGGTACTGCTCCCTTGAACTTATTCAGGGTAGCTAACTCGTGAAGGACATCTACTGGTGTCACAGTTATTTCAGTCAGCTGTGATGTCGCACTGGGGAAATCTGTCATATTCAACGGTGCTGGCTGTCTGTACACTCCCTTAAAGAAAGCCATCAAGGTATTTGCCTTGTCTTCCTCGCTTAGGAAACGACATCCATCAGTGCTTTCTAACGTTCTAATCCACTCCCTTGATGCCTTTTGAGATTGGCCGTAAACATAGAACCTCTTTGGGTTCCATGCTCATAGTTGTACCTGGCCCTTCGCTGCATAGCCTGCGCATGGTTTCTTGCTGCCTTGTAGCTACATCATGTCTGATACGAACTGAGCCGTTTTCAGGTGAGGTCAGGTCAGGTTTCACAAGACTGGTAGTGGCCAAAGGCCAATCAAGCGTCCAGAATTCCGTTGGTGGTGTGCTCACGAGTGTGCGTCCACCTCTGCAATTGATCGGTTTCTCTTTCTATCTGAAAACAGAGAGAAAGTGAAACTTTAATTCTCATCGTGTCTGTGAGAGACCTTTACTGTGTACACGTACCATATTACACAAAAACAACTTGTGCACCTAACATTCTATGTCAGGGAAGACCTCTAACCATCTGACATCCAGGGCTATTTTAAAGGCTTGGATGTTTGGCTGCATAATCGGTTCCGACGGAAGCTTATTCCGATTTCCCATTACCCTATTGCCAAAGAAATGTGCCCGTAGGTTCAGCCTAGAACGCTGTTTCATAAGTTTGAGTTCATGTCCACGCGTTCCTTGGTAGGGAGCCTCAGTGAAGAAAGATCCCAGATCTAAACCCAGCAAAGTTTTCTTAATCTTAAATACTTCGATGAGGTCTCCGAGCAATCCCCTTTTTTCTAGCGAAGAAAGACCGAGCGCGTACAACCTCTCTTTGTATGTTTTTCCCCGCATACCCTCAGCCATCCGTGTTGCCAGTCTCTGAACCCGCTCCAGACAGGCTGCGTCCTTTTTGTAGAAGGGCGACCATGCCTGAACACAGTATTCTAGGTGATGCTTTACGATGGCTTTGTAGGTGGGTATAAATACATTTGCTTTCCTACACGAAACTGCTGACCTTAGTCGAAACAGCTGTCGTCCTGCCATGTGTGCTGCAGCTTCACATTGGGTACTCCAACTGTAATCTGTAGTTGCTATGACTCCTAGATCCCTGGCACTGGTTACAGTGCCTACTTCTAATTGCCTCCAGTCCCCGAGAGTCTTCAATGGTTCTCTAGTTCTAGACAGCAACTGGTACTTTGTTGCATTTAGTGGCAGATCCCATGTGTGGGACCACTTGACCACCTTTGCAATATCCTCTTCCAAGTCAGCTCTTCTACTAGATCCAACCACCTATACATAATAAGCGAAGATGAAGCAAGGTGAGCTGGTAATTTCTGCTAGATCATTTATGAACGATAGAAATAGAAGCGGGCCTAACACCGTCCCTTGTGGCACGCCACTTGTGACATGAAGGACTTGGGACTTTTGTTCTCCTACCCTAACCCAGAATGTCCTACTGATCAAGAATGTTTCCATCCATGTAAATATTGTTCCTGTGATTCCGAAAAACCTTAGCTTATGTAGAAGCAGTCTATGACTTACGAAATCGAGGTAACATACTTCTACTGTTTTGTCCTCATCTACCCTCTCTGGGACTTCGTCTAGGTAGCATAAGAGGTTTGTCAGGCACGACCTGTTATTCATAAAGCCATGCTTGACCATGCTAAGTAATGCATACTCTAAAAGGTGGGTACAGACATGCGTCCTGATTAGCTTTTCCATGCACTTGCATGCAATTAGGTTAAGCTAAGCGGTCTGTAGTGCTGCGGGTTAGATCTACTACCACCTTTGTGTAACGCCA